CCCGCGCCGGGGGCGCTCCGGCACTCGCGCCCCGCCAGCCAGCGGGCGGCCCGGCGCGCCCGGGGGCAGCGGGGGAGGGAGAGAGGGAGGGATGGAAGGAGAGCGTCGGAGCGGCGGCCCCTCCTCAGCCGCCCGCCCGAGGGGAGCGCGGGGCGCGGTGCGGTGCGTGAGGCGGGCGCGGGAAGCGCCCCCTCGCCTCGGCGCTGCCGGCAGCTCCGGGCCGAGTGCGGCGGGCTCGGCGCTAGAGGGGGTTCGCGGACAAGGCACGGGCAGAGCGCAGCCCCGCTCGGGAAGGGCCGCGGCCGCCGCTCCAAGGGGTGCGGGCCCCACCCGCGGCTGGCGGCGGCTCCCGGGACAAGGGGACCCGCCCGGAGGGCACTGCGCTGCTGCTGCTCCGGAAAGTGACGGCCAGGGCATGCGAGGGACAAGCGAGCGTGAGCCGGCCGCGTCCGGGCATCCCTGGAACATTTACTCTTTTTTTTTTTTTTTTTTTTTTTCCTCCGCATCTGATCTGATCTGATCTGCAGGCTGCTCACATTCCCCCCCCCGCCCAGGTGCGCTGGCACCTGGGATGGGCGCCCTGTGGAAGTGCCGCACTCCCGCCACACTCCACATACCGGCCTGAGTAGTACTTTGAAAATTATTATTATCATCATCATCATCATTATTATACAAAGGCCGGGGGGGAAAAAACCCAACCCAAAGGAAGATACTGATACCCGTATTTCTGAATATGACTCAAAGCAGGTGTCTACATCCACAAGTAAGAGGGGGAATAAAGAAAAGGTAATTCCCAGTGCTTCCCAGTGTTCAAAAATCCCATTGAAGTGAGTGGGTAATGCAGCTACAAGAGCCTGCACCAGAGAATACCAAAGTTTCTGCTGAGGTGCCTAAATGGATCTTCGGAGAAGCTTTGTGTGAGAACACTTAGCTTTGTAATGCAAGAATAAAGAAAATGGTTTAAAAGTTACTAATTTAAGTTACTAATTTAAAGAAGATGGTTTAAAAGTTACTAATTTAAGGATTATTTGCAGAGGAGTTGTTCAATGAGCAAAGCCAACACAGAAATATGCACTTGTGGGTATTTGGAGGGATCTTTAAAGAGTCCAGTGATCCTACAACATTGCAATATTTCCTACAGTTAGCTGTGTTAACAACATCCTATGAGGAAACTTTTATTCAAAAGAAAGTCAACAATAAAAGCTTGAAGGAAAATTTCAAAATAGTGAAAGAGTGATTGGGGCAGGTAAAGAGTGAAAGGTTCAGGGGCAGGTAAAGAGTGAAAGGTTCAAGGGCAGGTAAAAGGAGTAAGTTAAATTTTTACACTTTGGGTGTTTAGATGACCTTTAAAGATCCCTTCCAACACAAATTACTCTGATGCCATGAGTCTCAATACTGATCTGGTTTAGAATTAGCACAGCCAAAAGGAAAGTAGCACTAACTACCTACCAAGGTTTGCTTTTTGGTTAAGGAGTGAGAATTCAGGCTTTAATTCTTTTGCAGTTCCTGGTTGAGTAGTAAGATGCTTCCCAGCCAGCCTGCCATAAAATATTAATGCAGGGTATCCTGTGTAAAGGGCCCCAGGTGAAGATGAGTCATTTGGAGCAGTCAAAAACTTTTCCCACATCAGTGAGAAAGGCCAATTAATTAGCACAGCAAAAGTGAACTGAGGTTCCTTCCCTCACTTCTGCTGTTGCATGGTGCAGATGTGGGGTTTGACACCAAGCTTTTCTCAGACAAGCCCAGCAGCACGTGTATTTATATGCTTATATGAGTATTTATGTGCTTATGTCTGTGCAGACACTCTCCAGGCACTTGTGAGCACTGGTACACCTGTGTGCACATCAGGCAGGCAATTCCTCCTTCAAGGAGCTTGGAAGGGCTGGCTTCCCATTTCTGTTACTTTTACAAGTCATGTCAGACTACAGCTGAATAGAAAAAGGAGGCAGGGAGAGATGTGACGAGAGCACAGACAAAATGAGTGTGTTTCCTCTCACAGCTTTGCCTCCTGCCAGCCTTGAACTCCACAAGTCACAGGAAACTGTTGGGGAACCAGACAGCTAAAAAGTATGGGTGGCATTCCCTCCACAATGTCCCTGCACCAGCTTTTAATTTGAATTTTAGCAGGATTTCCAGGGGAACAACTTTGTAAGAAGAGTGCTCATTCATCTGCACACAGATTAATTTTTTGTAACTTTGTGAATTATTCTGAATTCCAATTAAAATCTTAACAATTGTGCTTTTTCAGATGTATGCAAACATACTAAATGCAATAAAGAATGGCAAAAATATGAAATATAAAAAAAACTAGAGTCCTACTATTACATTTTTCCCCCTGAAACTTTTACCACTTTGTGTAACAAACTTTGAAGTATTAAACAGGATGATTGCACCAGGTAAGATAAAGAAGGGGAGCCACAGTTTGAATAACTTCATCCTCAGATTTCTAGAGAGCATGTTTTTGTAGAAGCAAGGAATTCCATATATTACCATTCTTAAAACAAGCCTGAATGTGATCTGCCCTGTGAACAGAAAAACATCTGTTCTATTTTTATTATTTTCTTAAATAAAGGGATAATCTTTCTGTTAATAACAAAAAAAAAAAAAAAAAAGAAAAAACCAAAACAAAAACAAAAAATCCCCAAAAAAACACACCCCAAACCCCAACAAACAGGAAATATAGGATATAAATTACACATAATGGGTTGTCCTTTTTTCTTTGTGTAATTAACTATACATGTTTTATCTTTAGTGATGATAATTATAATAATACTCTGACTTTCTCAAAAAAAAAAAAAACCCAAACCCAAAATCCATTAATTTTTCATTTACATTTCTCATCATATCGTGTTGTATTGTGCATTAGTCCTCTGAACCATCACTCTTTACTGTCTGTGTTTTAATGTGATCAAAGCAAACACTTTAATTAGGATACTGACCAAGAACAGATATACAATAAACTGAAAACACTTTTTCATGCAGCACTCATTAGGATTTGCTGATGTTAAAAATGCTGTGATGTTTGGACCAAGACACCTGCATTAGGATTTTTTAAAGAGTAGCACTCACAGTTGCTGACTTTAACTACAACCTGTATACTAAGGAAAACACAATGTATTATTGATCTCTTGGAGTCTGAAGCAAGAGCTTTTTTAGTGAATAGAACACACTGCTGATTCGGCAGTGTAACCAGAAATGAACCTTCCAATACTATCTCTTTTATTCACAGTTGTAAATGACACTTTCCCATAACACTGAAAGTGAATTCCATTTTGTTATACATTGTATTCTTGTGTCTGTAGGATTTTACACTTTATTTTGTTGTTGTTTGAATGAGCAGGCCTTTTACTTTTTCAGCATCTGTGTTTTTTAGTGTGTTTAATGACAGGCTGACACCAGATTGTTAACAATATTTCTTCTTCCTACCATATTTCCCAAATATGCTCATGGTGTGTGCAGCAATTCACCTGAAGTGCTTTCAAGTATTTGCAGATTTTGACAATTTTCTATCACACATCAAGGGAAGCAAAGTAGAAGTTTAAGAAGTTTTGAGGCTTATTTCCTCTCCTATTGTGGATACTGAAAAAGATAAAGAAAGAAAAAGGGATGAGAGTCACAAAGAGAATTGCCATTCCCAACAAATCTTCTAGAAAGACAAGAATACCAAAAGTAGGCTGAATAGCTAATAGAATTCTGACATTACAATATTATTTGAATTATAGAACCAACATCAACACTTTAGTTATGAATTTACAGTGCTGCAGAACACTTGATATAGGCAATGATTCCTACACATACAGGAAAGTCATTGGCCAAGTGTTGCCTGTTAATTATTCAAGTTTGTTCCTAGATTAAATTTTTCTTTTTAGTTGGCCTGTGTATGGTTTGGACCTCTTCTGACCTATTAGTGAGCGCACTAATTCTGACACTCTGCACTGTGCAATTTAATTAAGCAAAAGTGAACCAATTACACTGAACCATGTTTTGGGGAAATTACTGATAAAAAGTGCAGTGTGGTTTCATCCCCATCTCGTTACATGCACAGGCTTAGAACTGCCTCATATTATTTTTTTACTGTAACAAGATTAGAAGATGATATAATGTACAAAAAATTTTAGACATTTTTTAAAATTTGCATATTGATGTTACAGAAATACCCATATGACAACACTTCTCCAATTCCAGTATTTCCTTTTACCTTTCCTTATTGATCTTTTAAAA